TCCTGCTAAAGTCATCAATACGGCACGCCTGTGATCAAGTTGATCACTCACACCCACGTTCTTCTGGAAAGTATGACATAATATGGCTGAGAACTAGATGAGTTGCTGGCTTGTTGCTTAGGTCATTTCTGAAAACACGAGCTGTTTTTAATTAAAAATAATTTAAAAAAAGTGCTTTTTAAATATATAATCAAGAATCAGTAACATTATGATTTCAAATAACAAATAAGTTGTAGCATGTAAAAAGCTCAATTAAATTGTCTTAAATTTTATATAAAAATTATATTATAAAATATAAAAAAAGCATCCATCTAAGATAAATATTATTTAAACAACCCAAAATAAAAAAAATAATAGGATGAATAAAAAAAATATAAACTTAAATTTTGAGTGAGAAGTAAATTTTTAGTAATTATTAGTAAATAAAGAGTATTTATTATTATTGTAAAAATTTGAATAATTTAGCTAATTGTCTGTAAAAAAATTTTATCTATTTATTTGTATATTTATATCTAATATATAAAACAAGCATGATATATATTTTAAACACTCATCAGAAAAAAACAACCTAAAAATATCTAAAATCTTTAAATTTTCTTGTGCAAGCATTAACTAAATAATTTCCTTTACAAGATTAGATTCTGATATATATATATATATATATATAAAGCACCTAAATATAAATAGAAAACCTATGCACTTACATGTATAAAGTTCAAAGTTATTCAAATGAAATTAGGATAATGAGAGGTGCCTGCGCCACAACAAAATAATCAAATGCCAAGTAGCACTTGCCATGTGAAGATGGTCAAACAAGATTTCAAAACAAGTAAAGGAATAACTAATTGTGGCATCATCAATTACTAACACAGCCTCACATTAATGCAACCACTGAAATAATTTGTTGTTGTTTTGTCTTTCTCGCCAGGAACAAAACGAACACAAATCTGCCCAAAAATTGCGTGTTTTTTTTCTAATTGAGCATAAAGAAAATCTATACAAGCATTGATCCTGGGTCGTGGAAGGTTTCTGTTGCCACTTGCCAGTCAATGAAGCGCCCGCCTAAATTTGAATCCTGATCAGAAAGGAATGTATCTCCTTCATCATTAGACCAGCACACAGGCAAGGCAAATATGACCTGCCTGCGATTTGGGTTCACTGGGAAAATGTGTTGAGAAGAGACAATGGAACTGCTAAAATATGTGAGATGAAGTTGGTCACTCACTGGCCTCTGTTGGTGATCCTTTCTGACCACACAATTCACGTGGGATAAACAGTAGGCTTTTGTTGTGGTAGATTGTATCTTGCCTGTTGTGCCGTGCTGTGGCCTGTGAGCTTGTAGCAGCATTGAACAAGCGTGAATAAAGGATCCATGAAAGAAGACAAGAGAGTGTCTCCCTGTCGCAATTAACTCGAAATGGCGACATATCCTTTGTTACTGATCGTTTTTTATATATTGAAATTGAGTTTTAAAAACGCATCTTTCCTTGAGAGAAAAATGGATGAATGGTTTTACTTCTGAATCATAACAAAAATGCCAAATGCTTTGCTTTCAATCGAAAACAGATCTTAACCATCCCCTGTTTTCAGATCAAATGCAACTACAAAGCAGCCAAATCGACTGGCCAAGACTGCACGCTATGATTATGTACCACTCATCATTCTAATTCTCATCCTGAAATCGGTCAGATCACTCAAACTTCCATTTATGGCCATTCAACAATTGTTAGAGATAAGTAGAACCGAATCTCTTTAGGGTTCATTAAGAAGGCCAGTTTGCCTTGAAATAATCAGATTCCCCAAAAGGGCATTATCATTCACGTATCTCCATAAGGGAAGCATAGGCAAAAATGAACGCAGGCGAATGATAAGAGATGAAATCTCAAGAAATAAACATTCAAGGTAAAGTAAGTTTATATATGTCCACAAAGCTAATAGAGAGTCTTCGAATTATTAGTTTCTATACAACCAGCCTGTCTCCTGCTCTAGCCTAAGCACAACCCGTGCACCAGTTTGGTGTTATGAGCCCAAGCATGGTCTTGCGATGATATCAAGAATTAACACTGAATGTTATCCTTTGATCAGAACGCATCTTATTGGAGATCCCTCGGCGCCAAACAACCTCAGGGGTAAACAATGGACAGAATATACTCCAGGTTGGATGTCATCCAGTTTCAAAGCCTCCACAAGGATGATTTCCTGAAAGCACAGTACCACCGTTAGTGCTTAATGTTGATCACTAACAAACCTTTTGTCTTAAATCTAAAGACTTGGGAGGAAAAAAAATCAAACTTAAATTCTGATTTGATTTTCAAAATTCCAGAAAACAAAATGTCCTATAAACCACTTAAGTACCATAATCCCAGCTTAGTTCTCTGCTATACAAGAGACGTGAATGAAAGTGAAAATTCAAATCTAGTGGACAAGACTAAGGTTTTAAGGGAAAAACTGATAAAAATATTCAAAAGAAAACATTCCATAATCATA